CACCATTTCGTTATTTGCCGTGTCAGAAGGAAGGTGCAAGTGGAGGGGAGCGACAGATCTATAATCCCGGGCTTCACCACAACGCCCACCAAGGAGAGGGAACTGAGGCAGCTGACAATCAAATCATTCAAGACCCCAGTTACAACCCTGGGAGCAGAGCTGAGTACATGCTTCTGTGCGTGGAAACCACCCCCCCACCAAACCTGTGTGCGTAAAGCCACACCACAGCCCTGCAAACACACGAGCAGTCCTACCGCCACATGGCTATAAACACACTCTGCACCAAGCCCTGCCTTTATCTGAAGGGCATATTGTCTGCCGTGGAGCCCGTGGCTTTTACCAAAGACCTTAGCTCCCCTTTAGGCATGGTAGTTGCTGAACGATGGGAATCTGGCCCTTATTTCTGTGTCTAAATGGGAGCAGAAGGCCTCTGAAAATCTGGCCTCTGGGGTGGTGCTGAGCCATTTTGAAAATCTGGCCCTGAGTTCTTTGGAAAACTGGACCATAACAAATAATAAACTCTGCCCTTATGTTTTTGTCAGGGTAGTTCTGTGCTCATTGACCTCAATGGGGCCCTCGCTGGTCAAAGCACCGTGCAAATCTAAAAGATGCCCCAAAATAATAATTCGGGTTGTGTCTATGTAGGCTTCTTTTTCATAGCTCAAGAGCAGCTCGAAGGTGTTTTGGGGGCAGGAAAAATGTTTTCTTCGTCCTTTCTTCTTTGTTAACGCGTTAGAAATACAGGTCTTGTCTGCATTAGAAGATGCTTTGGGGACCAGCTAACTAGTGAAACTATGAGCACACACAAGACTGAAACCTGCCAGGCAGTATCTTCGGTCAGATGCTGATTCTGGTACGATCGCTTTAGCACTCGTGTCCAATGAACCATTGGGAGAAAAGAAGTCTTTGTTAAAGAGTCCTCAACCTGCTGCTTTAATTGAGGTGTGAGTTCCCACAGTACGCGTCTGACACTCCCAGGCCATCCTCTCTCCAACTCAATGAAGACCAGACTTTATTCTTCTGATATTTCTAAGGTTAAAAATCAAGCAGGGGGGGGGAAAAACTAAAACAAACAAACCCCCACCTTAAAAGGGACTTAAGAGAGTTTTTAATCTTTCATAAACATGGGGGGGAAAGGAGCACAAGTCTCGCTATTTAACAATCATTTGAAGGTCACCTTCCACTAATCAATCCCAATAGCAATATCATCATCCTCACTGGGGAAACTGAGGCACAGAGGCATCTGCAAACTAAGGCAGCTTGACTGGCATCTCAGAGTAAACTCAGTGGTAGAACTACAATTAAAATCCAGGTGTTCGCAATTCAGCTGGACCAAAAAGCCTCATCTTGAGAGACAGTCCAAGCAATACAAACACAAAGGCCAGCAAGCATATACCCACAGGCCCAAATTCCAGTGCGACACACAAGTGAGGACACAAGCCTACACACACACACAGTATGAAACACCAATGTACTCACATGTGCATGCTACCAATCACAGCTACATGATCACACGTCAATGAAGGCAAAAGCAATCGCAAAATACAGCCAAGACACACCAGAGCTGTATGCCGTTTATTCATGGCTGAACAATACACCCGGATAATTGCCCACACAAGCACAGGTTCATTCACGGACACACAGACACAACCTTTTGATGCTGGGCCAGGTCAGCCATCCACCCAACCCCCCACTGCGAGCCGCTGACACCAATCACAGCAAAAGGACTAATTGTGTGGTTCAATTACAGGATTATTTATTCATTGTAAGAATTTCTAATAAATTGGCATTTCTCCTATTACAGAGAAACCCGAGGGGCCGGGATAATAACAGGTATTAACAAGAGGAACGTGCTGTCTTTGTACAACAAAACATTATAAAAAGCAACAAAAATCTCCAAGATCATTAACTTTGGCTTATTTTTTCCTCGTTATGTTTGTCTCAGCACAGGAAGGTGAGACGTCCCTAAGTCCTTCTTTGCATACTGAACGCTTCACGCTTCAGCATGGAATTTGGTGATGCACCGAGGGGCTTCTCCTACATGGCCGTTAGAACCTGAGCGCTTAGCAATATTGCTCCGGTGATAAGAAAGAGATTTCTGAGCTCAGTAGCTCCAGCTCTGCACACTGAATTGCACCCGGTTAAATGAAAGTGCGACTTTAAACCGATTTAGTTTAAGTTGTGCAAAAACCAAATGTGGCCGCTCGTCAATCCATTTAAATCTAATTTCTAACGGTTTAATTTTTACCAGTAAATTTAACAACGCAAGTAAAACTGGAAGCCAGTTTTAAGCTGAGCTGAAGGTACGTTTACACTATAGCCATGAAAACAGCATAGCTTTGAAATGGATTGTAATCAAACCAGTGCCACTTCTGTGTGTAGACAGGCCATAAATCCAGAGGCATCCCAATGTCCGGGGGTTTGCACATTCAGACGAACTCCGTTGGATTTCATTGGGATTTACGTCAGGGCGGCTGGGCTCAGAGACAAGTTCTCCAAACTGGTGGGTTTTGCATGCGTAGTTGACAGCTAAGGCCATCAGTAGTTGATGTGGGATGGAAATGGTTCGTCCTTGGAATGGGTCTTTCTGCCTTGTCTACAGAGAGATTTGCATGAACGCAGACTCTTCAGGGCTTAAAAATTCATCCTCTGCTGAGCCTCCACCCCCTGCTTCTGACCTCTGGCGCTTTCCCTGTCCCACTGGGATGCGGCAAGCAGAGGACTATATGCTGGGTGAGATGGAGGCTGCTACTCAAGCAGGAGCCGCCGTGGCTACCACGGCTGAATCCCTCCCTGCCAAAGTGCCCGTCCTCCCATGCCCATTGGAGCCACCACGCTGCACGGAGCCTTCCCCCTCACGCAGACGCCATCTCCCCCACTTCCTGATGCCACACTGCTCCCTGATCCTTTCTGGAGCCCAGGGAGGCATCCCTTACACCTAACAGTCTCTCTTCCCCTCCTCCATTAGAGATTCCCCACCCCCACCTCTTCTGCCAGGCTCCCTAGCTGCTCCATCTTTCCCTGCTCGCTTTGCAGAGCCGGCCTGATCTTTCCTTGTTCCCACACCGTGCCCTAAATAACCCCTGAGTCCTCCCTTATTCCCTCCGGAGGCAGGCCGCCCCGTGCACATGCTTTAAGCCTCATATGGCCCCTGTACATGACTTGCTTTGGATTCTGGCAGACATCTGGGCCATTTTTTTTTAGTCTCTTGCTGCAAGGGACAGGCGTTTGCAGGTGGGGGTGTAACTGAGAGCCTGGCTTTAAATTGACAGGTTTCAGAGTAGCAGCCGTGTTAGTCTCCTCAATATATGTTCCATTCTATATGCATCCGAGGAAGTGGGCTGTAGTCCACGAAAGCTTATGCTCTAATAAATTTGTTAGTCTCTAAGGTGCCACAAGTACTCCTGTTCTTCTTTTGGCTTTAAATTAACCCTTTCACCCCGCATGGACGGAACACAATGTGACGCCTAAGGATTTACAGGGGGGAGGGGGGATTATTTGGAGATCTGTGACTAACGAGGATGCTTTTGTTCTGTTCTCTGCTTTTAGGATTCACAGTGCAAATAATATAATCAAATACTGCTTTGTGGTGCTGAGTGACTTCTTAAAAAAGAAGGGGGAAGAACATTAACTCATAGAGTCCTCCTCAGACAGCAGAACATATAAATCACTCCTCAGAGAGAGCGAGAGCGCACGGGGTCTATGTGGTTGCAGGGGAAGCAGGATGGTGAAGTGCTAGCCTGCAGCACAGGAGAGCTGGATTTATTTCCCCTGTTCTTCCATAAACTTCCTCTCTGATTTGACACAAGTCATTTAGTCTCCCCGGATCTCAGTTTCCCCATCTGTAAAGTGAGAATAATAGCACTTCCCTGCCTTAAAGAGTGGGAGGTGATCAGATAAGAACATAAGAACGGCCCTACTGGGTCAGATCACAGGTCCATCTAGACCAGTATCCTGTCTTCTGACAGTGGCCAATGCCAGGTGCCCCAGAGGGAATGAACAGAACAGGGAATCATCAAGTGATCCACTCCCTGTCGCTCATTCCCAGCTTCTGGCAAACAGAGGCTAGGGACATCATCCCTGCACAGATACCACAGTGATGGGAACCATATAAGTACACCTCTACCCCGATATAACGTGACCCGATATAACACGAATTCGGATAGAACGCGGTAAAGCAGCGCTCCGGGGGGGTGGGGCTGCGCACTCCGGTGGATCAAAGCAAGTTCGATATAATGCGGTTTCACCTATAACGCGGTAAGATTGTTTGGCTCCCAAGGACAGCGTTATATCGGGGTAGAGGTGTACCGCAGACGTCCTCCACTGACTTTCAGTGTGTACTTGGCAAATCCCAGCCAAAACCCCAATATAAGCCTGTTTTCATGCACGTTTCCCATGTGATTAAAAAATGGAGCTAACCCAAAATATCGGAGCGGGTTGAAAATCTTCAGCTAAAGTTTTGTTTCAATGTTTTGCAGGAAATTTTAAAACAAAACCTGAGAATTTTCATTTCATTCCGATTCAACTACCAATGTTCCCTTTGATGCTAGGCGAAATTTTCAACAATCGAAACAAAAATTGCCATCTCAAATGAAGCTAAATGAATATTTTTGTTCTGAACTTTCCCTTGAAAATGAAAATAAAATTTCATGAAAAACTAAATTTTCCTGTGATCACTTTCATGTTTGAGGAAACCCTAATTTTCTGGTGGGACCAATAGTTCAAAAAATTTCAGCCCGCTCTACAACGTAGACATGAGTCTGCATTTGCTTTTCAGAGTTCTCTGCAGGGCATTTTTGTCTGAAACACAATACAGGTATGTTACGACTATGATCACCTTCCACATATATAAGGCAACTCAAAAATTAAAGCTGTTGCTTCATGTACAATATCTAAGCACCACTGGGTTCTGTGAAGAATACCTGATCTCTTATATGATGCTTCAGGACCTGCATACAAAAAATGAGTAATAAGGTCACTATTAACATTTTTTTTTTAAATCCCTTGCCTGCGTTACTAATAACACCATATAGATTGTTAAAGATAAAATCTGTCTGACTCAAATATGCTTTTTTATTGTTTCTAGTCTTTCATCGCTTGTTCATATTTCTCCCAGTTTGACCTAGACTGGTAAGTTTCAGTTTTTGCTTCTCATGCGTTAGCTCACTGCTGCTGGCCAAGAGTTTTGCAAATGGCTTGTTATCTGGGGACGCCTTAAAGGGGCCTGATTTTCAGAAAGGGCCGAGCACCCACCCTCTGAAAATCAGCCCCTTTTAAGGTGTCCTCACTTGGGTACCTGAAGTCACTAGTCACTTTTGAAAACCTTGGCCATTGTGTTTACATTTTCAGCACCGAAGCAGGAAGGTTTTGATCCAATCCCTCCTTTTTCCATTGTCATTTTTTTGCTTAAAATATTTGGGACATTTCCACTCACATTAAGTTTTCTAAAACTTAAAAAAACATACATCTAAACAGGCAACATTTTTCAGAAATGGGGGCCTAAATGATCCGCTCCTCAGTCCATAGTTTGGCACCTGGTTAAGTGGCCTGATTTTCAGAGGTGCTCATTTCCCCACTGACCGCAGTTGCTGAGTGCTCAACCCTAAATCAGGCCATTTAATCACATGCCTACATATGGTCATCATGGGTGTGGGGTTTTCCAAAGCATCTTAAGTGACCTAGCAGCTCAAGCCCTACTGGAAGCTGATAGGATTTGTACTCCTAAATCAATCAAAGGTATGAAGGTAGCCGGGCGTTTTTGTAAATCCCGTTCTAGAAGCCCAATTCTTAGCAACCTCCGCCCACCCCCATCTTTTAAAGCACAATGGGTGAAATTTTCCAAAGCACTTAAAGGAGTTTGAAAATTTCAACCTGTCCCTTTAAAAAGGCCTGAAGTTGCATCCTGGAACTAATCTCTCCGCTTTCGTCAGTTTCGCATGGCCTTTCAACATTGCCATCATCATAAAAAAAAAAGTGTGCATATGTCAATATCCTTGTGTCCTCTCTTTACTCTGTAAGGCCAGAATCAAGGTTATTATAACAAATACAATGCTGGTAACATAAAATTCAACCTGCAACGCAGAGCCGTGAGCAAACGGATCTTTGCCACCACACCGTCCATCAGGAAGACACTGGGAGGCCAGGCAGTTCATGGGAGCTGAATGGCACTGGTTATAACACTTATCATAGCTTTGTGGAAGAACGGGTAACAGCTAGACCCCATGCTAAGACAGCGTTGAACAGAAGTCTTGATGAGAAAGCCAAGGTCTCCTGCTCTTTAGCACTGTAATCCACTTCACACTTAGAAACATTTAGCAGTGAGTAAAACAAGACAATATTATTTACAATTCTTAGTTGTCTCATTTAGGTTTTTTTCCCCCTTTCTTCCTCATTTAATAATAAGATTTCTGGTGGAGCTGGGAGGCAAACAGCGGGTCCTTCACTTATGTAGCTCAGTCTCTCACATTTCTCTCTTCAGGGACAAGTTCGGCCCCCTTGGAGCAGAGATGAACGTGGCCCATAGACTTCATTTCGTCTGTGAAATTATGAACATCACCAAAACGCAGCTACTGCAGGCCCCGAACATGAACTCCTTCCTCCGACAGTGCGCCCACTGCTTTCCAAGGCAATGCTGTCTGAGCAAGGAGGCTAGAGTCAGGCTGTTAATGAATTAGCAACTCAGGTTGGATATACAACATGGACTTGCTGGCTTGAGGTCTAGAGGAAGATGCCAGACCAGAGGTATAAAAGGAGGAAGGGTGAGGGGCTCCCCCCACCCCAGTTCTGCTACAATTCTTCACTAGCCACCAATCAAATGAGATTTGATCCTATGTTGTGAGAGCAGAAGCAGGGTAATATTCTAGAACTGGAGACATTTGGGGCTGGATTCTTACTTGCATTGGATAGAAGAGCTGGTCAGGAATTTTCCAAAGAAACATTTTTGTCCATTGGAAAATGCTGATTCTTTGAAATTGAAACTTTTTTTTTGCAGAAAAGGGTCCGTTTCGACAAAAGTTTTCTACCCAACGTTTGGGGGGGGGGTGTTTTGTTTTTCCCCCCCAAAATCATCAATGTTTTATTTTGACATTTTCTACATGAAAAATCATAGTTTTCCTGTTCAAAGTGGCTTTTCGCTTAAAAATTTAAGCTAATTCTAGTAACCCCCCCATAAAAACCCCTTAAAATGGTCAAAATTAAAACAACATGCTTCAAAATGATTGAAACGAAATATTTTGACCTGATCTGAATTTCTTTTGCCAGATTTTTTGATGTGCGAAAAACATTGCCATTTAGACTTTTCCTCTCAATTTGGGATGAGAAAATGGTTCAATAACTTGAAAACTTTCACGGGATGGGAAAATCATTCCCTGGCCAGCTGGGTTTGAATAGCCCCTTATTCAAGGAGTCTTCATCATCAGGGGGTTCCTGGGGAAGCAAGGAGCTATTCAGTGGGAGCAAAGAGAATCTGGCCCTCTCCGAAGATCAAAGTGCTGTGAAACAATCTTCGAAGTCATCAAAACTTTTGCTACCAGTTTTTGGTCCCCCAAAAGGAGCCAACCCAAGAACGACCTCCCGTCTCCAGCTTCTAACGCTCCCAGGTGTGATCCGTCACATACCAGCCATACTAGGAATCCGTCCTGAGCCTCTTAAGGGCTAGAGCACTTTGCATAGTCCCCTTGACTTCCTGATGGCTGTCGGCAGGTGTGGGAGCCCTTGTGGTGAAGGAAAGGCATTTTCAAGTCACCCTTCCCATCAGGAGCTTTATATGAAAGGGAGCCCTACGGACAAGGCTAAGCCACTCATACCACTTGGCTGCCAGCGACCCTGGGCGCCATTAGAACTCCCCTCTCCTAGGAATACATATCTGGAGCGCCAGGAACTGGTAGCTTCCTCCAATGGGTGGGAAACAGCTGAGTCCTACGATTTGGTGCTTTTCTAGTGTCTTCTTCAAAGAAGGAACTTCTAACTGACGATTGGGCCCAGTTGGTTTGGAAGGAGCAAGATCCACCCCCTCCCCCAACACCCCCTTTCACCCAAACCCATTTCCGAGCCTGGGAAAAACTCCATCGAACACACTCCCTGACCCCCTGTTCCTTTAGAAAGGTTGCTGCAACTGCCTCTCTACCTCCTGGGTCTTCCTTGGAAGCCTCAACATACCCAAAGGAGCCTGTTCTTGGGATGTTTCCAGCTTTGCAGAGACCGAGAGGTTCAGATAATACAGCGAAGACAGCTGAGCTTCTGGGCGCTTTTCCAAATCACCCTCCGACCCTTTCGAGCCTCATCCGTACCAGCTCAGATACTATGGTAATAATCATGGTCTAGGAATAGAATCGACTCCATCACTAACGTCACCCATCCCCACTTTCCCCTTGCTCGTCGGCCGCTAAAGCAGCAGCGTGATTACGTTGTAGCCCACAGTGGGTGGATCACTGGTCTGAGGAAGGGCACAGAGCCTGTCTCCTAGTGTTTCACTAGTACAATATGTGAGAGGTCTGGGATGACAGCAGCTGTTCCAGCTCTCCATGGCCGCACGGCGATTGTTGGCTGACCTGCAGTGTGACGGATGGCAATTGTTTTCTGCTTTCCCAGGCACCGTTAGCGGGTTGCTATTCTCCACTGGAATTTGGGGGCTCTAACAAGGGTGATGTCTGCCCAGGAGCGATCAGCGCCTGGGAAGGTGCTGGAGATTGACCGCTGAGCACCCGAGACGGGCAAAGGACATTATTCCTTAGGTAACTAGATTGTTTCTTAACGTGTCAGGCAGCCTGGCTGCTAATGACCAAGGCAAACTCTTCCAAGCCTGAGGAATGTGCGTGTCATGGAGGCATGTGGATCTCTCGCCAACACGCACGCTGTATGTTTCATGATTCACAGTGTAGATTTTGCCTGCTAGAAACAGTCTTCTCCCCCCTCACCACTTTCAAGGACAGTGCAGAGGCACAAATGTGTGTTTCTATAGATGGGGCCCTTTTTTCCCCATGCTGCATCCTTGGGTAGCTCTTTCTAATTATATCCCTCTGCTCCCCACCCTCCATCCCAATTCCCTGTTAATAACATCTTCACTCAAACGTTAGCCCTGAAATCCACCCAGTTCTCTCTGAATTCAGCTGGGTCCGTCCTTCCTGGCTTGGGAGGTGCAATTCAAAGAGAGCAACTGGTGATCTGGGGCAAACAGAAGGGGGTGGATATTGTGGGGGGCAGAGGAAGATCCTCAGAGGGGGAGTGGAAGAGGGGGAACGAAGCAGACAGAGAAAGAAAGAGGAGAGACCTGAGCGAGAGCAAACGCGGTCATCGTTGCAGCTACCGGAGACGTGTTGTTGGGGTTTGGGGGGGCGGGGCGTGCACAAGAGATTGTTCTGCTCACACAGGAGGCGCCGAAGCCGAAGCTCCTAGGTCCCAGCAAGACTGAGGGAGGCCACAGCCCCTGGTGGCCTTGGCTATATCCCTTCTGTTTTAGCATCGGCCAGTCCGCCGGGGAAAGGGGGATAGAAAAAAGGGGACAATACTGAAAATAAGAGGTCAGTGCATATGGGATTGTTCGTAAATAGCAGGGGGCCCGGGCGGGAACCCCATTTCCTTCACATCTTCTCGCCAGCTGGTATCTCCGTGGGGTCGCAGAGGGGCTGGCTGGGGAGTGCCTCTCCCGCCCCACCCTTCACACCGGCGACGTGGCGGTCGACTCGCTGTACAAGCTCTCCACAATGTCTCCCCGCTGGATTCGGCGCAGGGCGGAATAAAGGGCGTCCATGGTGGCGCTGTCCTTGCTGGACCAGTCGGAGAGCAGGGCCCGGACAGGGCACTCCTCCTGCGTGAAGGAGTCTATGTGATCCTCCTTGTAGCCCAGCTCCCCCGCCAGGTGACGCCAGGTGTCCTCCGGGGAGCTGTTCAGCAACTTCTCCACCTCCTCTTGCTTGTTAGGCGGCAGGCTGGTGTAGAGGTTCCCGTCTCCTTTCAGAGCTGTGCAGGGAAGGGGAGGAACAGAGCAGGGTCACTACGGCCTTTGGGAGGTGAAACTGAACCAGAAGGGGTCAGAAAGCCCAGGAGAGCACCAGGATCGGGGGCGGGCAACTTGGTGCTTCATACATACTGGGAGATTTTCCCAAGGCAAACCGGGGGATGCCTATGACCTGTACCCTGCTGTGTATCATTTCCCCAGTCTGGACTTGCAGCATCACCCTACTGTTTCAGTCCTGGGCTCCCCACTGCCCCTCTGTCCCAGTCTGCAACCCCTGTCCAGCCACTCCTACCCCGATCCTGACCCGCAGCGCCCCTTCCCTGCCATACCATGTCTGATCCTCCCAGCTCCACCAGCGCTCCCCAGACTCCTCCCAGCCCCGGGCCCACCCTAGCGCAGCTTGGTGGATAAACCTTACCCTGCACCTGTGCGGTCTGTGTTGGTGGCTGTTGGTCGTGAAGGCTCTGGCTGTCCACGGAGATCCCGCTGTCGCTGTGAAGCTTCTCTCCTTCCGGAGAGGGGGTCTGGTTGACAGGGCGGTTGTTGGCGCCCTGTTTGTTCTGTTTGCAGCTGTTCCACCTGCAGACGGGACCAGCGAAGAGGAATGAAACAGCCGATCCAGCCACATCGGCCAGCCTCTTACCCGGATCTTATTGTAAGTCAGCCAGAGTCACAGAGCCTCATTCTCCCTGTCCTGCCCCTTTGTGCCCAGTCTGCCTTTGCAGTGCTGGTGTAAATGTTGATACAAGGGCAAAGCAGCAGAGAGCCAGTCCCGCTGGCCTTAGAGATCCAGGCTCCAGCATCCTGCTACTGATTACTATGATATATTGCAGTAACACCTAGGAGCCTTAGTAATGGGTCAAGACCCCCACAGGGTGCTAGGTGCTGTACAATCCCAGAACAAAGAGACTCTCCTTGCCTCAAAGGGCTTGCTGTCTAAGTCTCAGCTAGGAATAAATGAGGAGCAAGGGTATGTCTACACTCCAGTGGCACAGTGACAGTCCTGCAGCTGTAGTGCCATAGTGTAGACGCTTCCTACGCGATAGTGTAGACACTTCCCATGCGGGTTTTTCCGACGATGCAGTTAATACACCTCTCCGAGAGGTGGTACTGAGGTCAACGGAAGACTTCTTCTGCCAACCTATCTGCAGCTACAGTCTACGCTACGTCGCACGGGGCGCAAAATGTTTCATAGCTCTGAGTGATGTAGCTAGGTCGACTCAAGTTTTAAGCATAGCCCAAGTCTTCCGCTGAAATCAGTAGTGTTACAGAGGTGAATGCGGCCACTGAGTCAGGCTGCATGAGATCAATGTGATTAGGACAGGATTGGTTTAGTTTGCTTGGGGGCCTAGGTTTAGCCAGGCTGACTAAAAAAGATTGGAGCCAGAAGGGGATTGGTCCTGCTTTGAGCAGGGGGTTGGACTAGATACCTCCTGAGGTCCCTTCCAACCCTGATATTCTATGATTCTATGATTAGTCCTTCAGGGGAGAAACACTGCATTGCTCCTACTGTCTATGGGCCAAGCTCTCCAACAGTGTAAACGGGCAGCGCTCCACTGAATTCAGTGCCAATTTGCACCACCAGAGACCTGAGTTTCGTGTAAACATAAACTTTCCTTTAGACATACAAATATTTTTTTAAACGGACATGAAAACCAGCCTGTGCCGCCTGCATGCCTTTATGCACCAGAGTCTGTGCACATATGGGAGTGTGGGCACACTGTTAGCCAATGTATATGTTATATATGATGCTTATATATGGAGATATCCTATCTCCTAGAACTGGAAGGGACCTTGAAAGGTCATCGAGTCCAGCCCCCTGCCTTCACTAGCAGGACCAAGTACTGATTTTGCCCCAGATCCCTAAATGGCCCTCTCAAGGATTGAACTCACAACCCTGGGTTTAGCAGGCCAATGTTATATGTATTGCACAGCATATTATGATGTAGTACCCACCATATTAACAGTATATACATTACATTATATATGAATGTTGGCACTACATTGTATTAGGGTCACACTTGCCCACTTACATTAAGAGTGATACCTCCCACAATACCTTGCAACGCTAGATACGGCATTTAGCACTAGCCAATATAAATCCTGTCAAAATCAAGAGACACGAGTGCCCTGCTCTGGTACAACACGGAGAACGTCTTCGTGGCGTGGCGTGGAGTGCTTTGTTCAAAAGGAGCTAAGGGGCACGCCCTGGTACCAGGACAAAAAAAGGTAAAAAAGCTAATGGGGGAATGTTAGTCTTGGGTGTCATATTGCATGCTTTTAACTTGTAAATGGGTCTACGATAAAAATAGGGAGCGGTACATAACATCCTTTTCGTATTGTACTATTTTGTCTTTAGACAATAAACTTCGCTGAGGTTGGTCATAAGGTTGTCCTGCCTTGAGTGCAGGGGACTGGACTAGAAGACCTCTTGAGGTCCCTTCTAGTCCTATGCTTCTATGCTTTGATCGCTTGAATGTTTTTAATAAGGGACCGCGAGTGTAGGGCTAATCAAATGGCTGCATTTTAATCCATAATACATCTGTAATTGTGTGTGCTCATATACATGCATGTTAAACCGTGCGTGCACGCATGTAAATGCATGTGTTGATATGCTTTGGTGTGTGCACCTGGAAATGCCTGTGAAACAGCGTGTGGGTGGGTGCGTGTGAATCACTGCACCGAGCGAAATGCAAAAGCACATGGGATTGTGTGCGCACAGGCAACTGAAGGTGAATTTAATGACTCAGTGCACACAGGTAGTTGGGTGAGAATATGCACATGTAAACCATGTGGTGTGCATGTGTGAACGTGCTTGTGGGTGCGCACACGGGAATGTCTTGGGGGCGGGTATAGATGCACCTCTGCTGGCATCACTGATTAGTCAGTGGGAGTTTCCTTAGCAGAGAATTCAGCCTCCTCCCTAGGAAGCACAGCGATTAGGGATTATTTCTAGTGCGTGGGTATGTGGAGAAATCGTAGCCCTCTGTGCAAACACTGAACCAGCTGCGACCTGCATAGGCACCAGGTGCACAAAGCGGGGGTGAGAGGGTGCAAGACACTGAAAGTGACGGCGTTGCAGAATGTCTCGGAATTACAAGCACCCCCCAAGGGAAATGAGCGAGCTAAAGAAAGAGCAGGATAGGCGAGAGAGACCATATAGGGCCCCATTCTCCATTGCTCTGCACTGCAGGGCAGGTGAGTGCCCAACTCCCCTTGGCCTTCCATAGGAGACGAGTGCCCGACTCCCATAGGTGCCCCTCCGGGGCTGTCATTTACACCAGTGCGAAGCGTAAATCTGTGTAAAACTCCAAATCGGGCCCATTATCACCGCAGGTCCCAAGATGATCAGGTGCTGGTAGAGAAAGCTGCCCGATGAAGCAGTAACGGCCCTGGGTCTCGGTCTGAGGCCGGCAGCCTTCCCCACTCCTGGATCCCGCCCTCCGTTCCTAGAATGCCCCAGAGCATTGGCCCCTGCCTACCTTTTGAAAGCAATGTAGGCTATTAGCCCCACCACCACGGCTGCCAGGATGGAGCAGTAGACAGGGATGAGGTTATCGGCAGTGCCGCGGCTCAGGACTGGCTGGGAGCTACCCAGGACGGTGGTGACTGTATCTGCGAGGGTGCTGGCGAGGCCTTCGGTATCGTACGGGTCTTTGGTGAAAGGCATGGGGCTGTCAGACCCCATCAGGGTTGGGGTCCGAGCCGTCCAGCGCGGGTGAAGATCTGCCAAGGGGAATAAAAATGGAGTTAGCAATTCACCCGGCCTCCTTTTCTCCTCTTTAGCACTCAGTAATGGCACCGCAGGGAAGGGGGAGGCGAGGCCAGCACTCTCCCAATGAAGCTCTGGTGGCACCCAGGGGGAGGAGCCAAGTTGCGGCCCACCCCGTTCTCACACAGAGACACCCCTCTGGAGCCCTTAACAATGTTAGCCATCATGGACGGGCGAGCTATGAAAACAGGTACTGCACAATCTCCACCATTGACTCTCTCTGGTGGGGCTCAGGGCGAGAGGAACCTTTTATCTCAGGTGTAACTAAACCTGCCCAAAGACTGTCGGGACTTCCTGGCAGAGGTGGGCTCACATGAGAAGCCCACAGCCTAACACCCCTGAATTCTGCAGCCTGAACTCATCTTTAACCACTGTCTGCCAACCCTAAACATAGCGCACCCTTGGTGGTGCTTTGGTTATCATGTGCTGGGCATTGTGTAACTAATCTACCGAGCCTCCCATTCCTCTTTCTTATTAGTCCTTCTCATCAGCGCCACATATCCCTGCAGGTGGCAGCCTTTGAATGCAGGCATGTAATTCCAGAGAGAACCAAATCTTTTCCATACCCTTTCTCCCCACTGGGACGGCTGATCCTGCCTCCAGCCAGCTCAGAACCATCTTTGACCTTTGCTCTTTGCCAGTTTTTGTTTATTGGAGGCTTTTTTTCTGACGCTCAAGGACTGCGGGGGTTTGACCTGTCGCGCTCTAAAGGGCGTGAAATCTGGAGCGCCAACCAGATCGAAAAGGGCAAAGGGTTTCAGAAATGCAGCGCTACTGCCAAATACCATGGGCGGCACGGAAACTGGGAGTGGCTGATAGCGGGAGGCCAGTCTGCAGTGCGGGGAGCGATTCTGGACTGGGAAGATCAATAAGCAACACACTCCTTTGTAGCACCGTTGTCTAAGAACATCGCGTGGAAATCCGCAGCATGGCTATTAGGCTACCCGGAGCCTGGTACACTTAGCACCAGAGCAAATGCATCCCACCTGGATGTACTAGGAAAAGACAGAAACAATCAGAGCTTTGGGGACTGCAGACCGTGTAGCTGAGGCTATGCAAGGGGGGAAGCAGGTCAGGGAAGAGCTCAAAATCAGGGCAGGCAACTGCGATGATCATTTGAGCACGGTTTGCAGTAACCTGATGGCCTCCCTCATAGGTAAGGGTCACCACTGAGGAAGGCTGAATGCAAAGGATGCAGCAAGCAGTTGGAATGTCTAACGGAACACACAGAGCAATGCAGATTCTTAGCAAGAATGAGGGACAGTCTATGTAGCACTGTTCGTCCAATGGCCATTGCAGTATAGCATGTACCCGGGAAGCTGTTCACGCGTCACTGAAATGCAGCCTCCTCTGGGGTGGAGGTGAGGCAGCTTTTTCTGCAAAGTGTTCAGCTCCAACCTCAAACACACCTAAAATTAACCTTGGTTCAGGCTTAGAACTAGGGGGTTATCCAATGAAATTAATAGGCAGAAGGCTTAAAACAAACCAAAGGAAGTATTTCTTCACACAACGCACAGTCAATCTGTGGAACTCCTTGTCAGAGGATGTTCTGAAGGCCAAGACTATAACAGGGTTAAAAAAAGAACTAGATAGATTCATAGAGGATAGGTCCATCAGTGGCTATTAGCCAGGAGGGGCAAGGATGGCATCCCTAGCCTCTGTTTGTCAGGAGCTGGGAATGGGTGACAGGGGATGGATCACTTGATGATCACCTGTTCTGTTCATTCCCTCTGGGGCACCTGGCATTGGCCACTGTCGGAAGACAGGATACTGGGTTAGATGGACCTTTGATCTGACCCAGTATGGCCGCTCTTATGCTCTTATGTTCTTATTATTTGTATTTCAGTTGCCCCGAGGTGACAGGCCCCCATAGCGGGGCAGTGCACAGACACTTAATAAGAGACAGTCCCTGCCCCAAGGAGCTTACCATCTAAAGAGACATGCCAAAGGAGAAAGAGGAAGTGCTGTGCCAAAGATCACCCAGCAGGTAAGTGGGAGAGCGGGGAATAAAAATCAGATCTGCCGATTTTCCTCACATTACCTCTCCGAATGGATTCTTTTTACAAATCATCTATGGCACAAATGGGTTTTGTTCCTGCCCTTCCGTCCCTTCCTCAGAGCTGGCTACGTACAGCGATACTGGCCTACAATTTATGGAAGAGAGGAACCAAGAATACCCATTGCCAGGGGAACACAGAGAAGGAATTTAGGGTGTCAGATTGTACTCATCCAAACACAGTTCCCTTGAATAAGTAATAACCAAGGTGGGACAGGCCACCTAAAGCCACAACTATTTCAGGGTCAAAGAGAATGGTCCAAGAAGTTGTAACTAGAAATAACAGGATAGTTTAAAAAAAAAAAGTAATATGGTGCAGGATAAATATCAAGAGAAACCCCCTCAACAGTGGGATCTCTGTGACTGTGTGATAGTCTTCCAATGGAAGCTCCACCCCTGGAGATATTGACATCTAGGCTGGATGATTCACTAGAAGACATTGTTAGGAGCAATCCTGCAATGGTGGGAGATTAAACTCCTGTGCCACTCGAGTTTTGCCGGAACACTGGTTAACATCCCATCTCCTACTCCTGGCAGATGTGCCCACAGCACATGTGATTATCACGAACGGCCAGGTTTTTTCCTGCAAGATCTCTCACCATAGTGCTGGCCTGGCCCAACCCCGCTTTGCTGATGAAATCTGACTAGATCGGCGCCTGAGGGGAGAGATGTTCTTTCTGCTGTTCCTCCTCTCAGCCCCACTTTCCGCCTGGAGCCCGGCTGCGTTGCAGCAGCAGTAACCGACCCTCGGGGGCTGTTCGGTGGATCAGCTCCACCCAGGCAACGGAAGCTCAGCGTTGCCGGGGTGCTGCACTGTGCATATACATCTCTTTATCCTGCATGGGAAGGATGGGCAGCGGTCCAAGACTCGAGAGAGGAGTTCAGTTCCTACCCCGTCTCAGACTGTTCTGTGTGAACTTGAGCCACTCTCTCTGTGCCTCGGTTCCCCATCTGTGCAATGGGGATAATACCATTTCTTCTGTCTTCCTTGGCGATTTAGGCTGTAGGCCTCAAAGCTGTTCTGTGCTTAACTCCCACTGAAATCTATGGGAGTTAGGTGCCTAAATACCTTTGCGGATCAGACCCTTAGCTCATCAGGGCAAGGACTCTCTTACTCTGGGTCTGTACAGGGCCTACCATAATGGGGCCCCAACCTCAATCAGGGCTCACCATCACATTCATTTTAATACACGGGAATATTGTGCTATCCAGCCTGCAGACACAGCTATGGCGCAGCAAACACACATCTGGCATGAGACCAGTGGCGTAGCCAGGTTTTAAGAGCAGGGGGAGCAAACATAAAAAAGGTGCCCCCCCTTGACACCTCCTCTGGCCACGCCCCCCTTGGCTCCTCCTCCAGCCGCTCCGCGCCCCGCCCCCCCCCTTTGGCTGGCTCCTCCGGCCGCACCGCGCCCCCCCCCCACCCCCGCCCTCATGGGGTCCACTCCGCGCTGGCCTCCCCTCTGCGCTGCTACGGTGCTGAGCACCCCCCTCGCCGGGCCCCCCAGGCGGGGGGTGAGGTGACACCCCCACGTGCCCCGGGCCGAGCCGCAGTAGGGTCCATGTCCCTTTAAGAGCGGGCTGGGCTGAGCCGAGCCGGCGGGGGGTGGCTCCTCTCCTCGCTGCAGGCTGATGCCAGAGCCTGGGCTGAGAGCCCTGCTCGTCTCCTGCACCAGCTCCGGGCGGGGCTTTGCTGCGGCTCCCCCAGTCCCCCCGGGCCGCGCCCGCCCCCTGCACAGTAGGGACGGGTTGCATGAGGGCCGGCAGGGCAGGACCCAGTGGGGCTGAGCGCTGAACAGGCCTGGCAGGGCGGTGCGGGGGCTGCTGGAGGGGGGAGCTGGGGAAGGGGTGGCATGGCCTCAACCCCTGGGGCTGCCTGCCCCGCGGAGGAGGCAGAGGGGCGCAAGCTGGAGCAGGACCCTAGCCCCCCGGGGGAGAGGATCTGGGACCAGCCCGGGGAGGCAGGAGCAGCCCCAGGGGTGCTGGACATGTGCAGAGCAGAGCCCCGGGAGAGCCCGACCCCACCCCATGGCGGGCAGTGCTGCAGAGGGGGAGCCCGCGCCCTGCGGCGGGCGAGGGGAGCCCCAGGCAGGGGGAGCCGGGCCGCCCGCGAGAAGCTGAGGGGAAGCGGCTGCTTCCTCTGCACCCCACTAGCTACGCTACTGCGTGAGACCTGTGTACAGGAATGCCACCTGTCTCAGCAACATGCATGGCGTCCAGCATGGAGCTAGGGTCATCCCTTGCTAACATCGAGGGGTTCCTGTTTCACCTGGATCCCCTCCCTCACTGTGTGACTCACTGGCGCGAGTGAGTAGCCTGCACGCTCACTCAGACTCAGTGAGCAGCAGCGTTCCCAGTTTGTTCTCTTCCCATCTGTGCCCAGACGCTCCTATCCTCCATGCATGCCCCGTTGCTCTGTCAGCCTGCTGGGACACAGCTCTGGAGGGGAGGAAAACATTTTCCTATTGGCTGGTTCCCCGTGTTCAGCCAAGAACCGCACCTAGGCATGCCTGGTGAAGAAAATGTGTCTCATCTTGTACCTGTGAAGCAGGGAGGGTCCTAACCCTTTGTTGCCAGGGAAAAGGCAGAAAACAGTCCTGGGGAGGTTATGAAAGGTGGCAGGGGAGGCGAGCAGGACGGGGCGAAGGCAATGCCTACGGGCCTGTGATTTTAGAGTCTCTTGCAAGAAACAGTCTCTGAGGCTTACAGCGTCCCATTGCCAGGGGAGCATGACAGCTGAGCTGACACTTTGGCTTCTGTTTTAACTCTCCCTGGTGCCACCGAGCCTTTTCATGCTGCCCTTGCTGTCTGCTACGCGAGGATGGAGCGATCCACCTTCTAGCTCTAGCACCGACATTTGGAATAGTCCATGCTGCAGGCTATGGGTTCTAGGGCCAACAGTTGGAATATTCCACTGTAGCCTTGGGTTCCAGGGCCAACAGTTGGAATGGTCCATGCTGCGGCCCGGGGTTCTAGCACACGCAATTGGACTGGTCCACACTGCAGTCTGGGGCTCGAGCATCAGCAGTTGGAATGTTCCATGCTGCCACCTCGGGTTCTAGCGCCAACAGTTGGAATGGTCCATTCTGCAGCCTGGGGTTCGAGTGCCAGCAATTGGAATGGTCCATGCTGCAGCCTGGGGTTCTAGCGCCAGAAGTTGGAATGATCCATGCTGCCACCTCGGGTTCTAGCGCCAGCAGTTGGAATGTTCCATGCTACCACCTCGGGTTCTAGCGCCAGCAGTTGGAATGGTCAATTCTGCAGCCTGGGGTTCTAGCGCCAGCAGTTGGAATGATCCAGGCTACAGCCTGGGGTTCTAGTGCCAGCAGTTGGAATGATCCAGGCTACAGCCTGGGGTTCTAGTGCCAGCAATTGGAATGGTCCATGCTGCAGCCTGGGGTTCTAGCACCAGCAGTTGGAATGGTCCAGGCTACAGCCTGGGGTTCTAGTGCCAGCAGTTGGAATGGTCCATGCTGCTGCCTGTGGCTCTAGACCTTTGGTATCTTCCCTCTAGGCTGCTCGTGCGCTCTAAATCAGGACAGACCTCAGCAATCCCCTTCTGGTAGCTGCCCGAGTTCCTGCTCTGCCGTGCCCAGCTCAGAGCGCACCCGCACCACAATGTGCTCTGAGAGCCATGCCAGAAACACACTGCAGATGAACCCTTGCTCCAGGACCTTTAAAAAAACCCCTGCCCATCTGAATGCGCACCCAGGCCCCTCTGCCATCCCCTCCAGCTAAGGGTGAACCACGATGCAAGCCGGGCCATGGAGCCTGCCGAGGCACCGACCCTTGCCATAGGAACTGTCTAAGTAGAGCACCACATGGGGCCTGGCACAAGAGCAAACCCAGATCCAGAGGTAGTTTCTCAGGCTGGCGATAGCTCCTGGCTCAGAAGTGCTTGTAGCAACTGGCAGCCCTCCCTACTCTGCACGCTGCCCTCGGCTGGGCTGGTACACACTCCTCCTGTGGCATCCCACGAAGGCCTTCCTGGCTATTTCCTGCTGGGCTCTGATTCCACCCCTTGCGCCCCCGAGCATAAAACCTGCTAACAAAGCCCGCCCTTTGTGCCTTGACTTCTGGCTCCATTTATTCAACCCTGTAAAGGGATCAGCCAGAAAGGGCTGCCCAGAACTCCCCCCGCCTTGCAGTGGTGAATCAGAGACGCCCATGGCACAATGGTCTCTTCTCTACTTCTGTGCTCGGGGCAGGGAGCATAACTACGTCTCCAACCAAAGGAGGAAACCGGTGCCCTCCCCCACCCCTGCCACCAGCCCAGCGTGCCATTCATTCTGCTAATGAGCTTTCTAAATAAAGGACTGCCCCTTTTGGGAAATCCCCTGGGGAACGGGGCCTCTCCGTGAAGTGTCATCAGCATGGCTGGGGCGGCAGAGGACTCAGCCTGGGGGAACAGGAGGTTACGGCCAGATGACAACAAAGGGAATCAGATATTGCGTGTTGTTGCTCCTCCGATAAATGGCATCTCTTCCCTACACGGGTGACATTTTATGTAAACCGTTACAGTGCTAATTTGCATGTAATTTTAGTTGACCGGCACCCTGGGGGATTGAATCGGGAACTTTCAGAGCTAAAAAAACAAACAAACCAAAAAACCATAAGCTGCTGTAGTGTAATCCCAAACGCCTTAGCTAGGGCTGTAACAGACTCACCTCTTCTGGGACCTGGGACTGGTAGCTCACACCCACCAGTGGGTTACATCGGACCATAAACTTCCCAGGCCCAGGCCTACCCCTTCTCTGCCCAGAGTGCCTAGGTGGAAGTGAGGAGCTTAAATATCTTTGAGGGGCTGAGGCAAAGTCCCAGGGTGACATTACAGCCGATCCCCAGCTGGCCCCGAGCGCTCATTCCTTCCCCCAGAGCTCAGTCCCTATTCCGTGACGCGCCAGGACCTGAACTCAACACGGGCATTAGAAGAAGTAGTGAAGGAGCTGAGGGACTGAAGCCAACAGGCCAGAGCTTGCCATGCCCTGCAGGGCTGCGTGGATTTGCTCTGTCTCACTCCCCCCTGGCCTGTTTCCCGGTTCTGAGATTTGATTCCTCAATAATCCCAGGGGAGAATTGAAGCATTGTCCCATGCTCCCGATTTCCTTACTTCCCTCTTCTTAACACAATTCCCCAGCAAAATGCAGCCCGGCCCCACATCCCTCCTGCGGGGTGGCACAGCGGAGCCTCAGGAAGCAGTCACTGATCCCGCGTGCCAACTGGCGCGGTTCTGCCAGGCACTGAGCCTCATTGGAGCCAGCAGGCCCTGAACTAGATGGGGATGCTGTAGGATTTTAGGGAGACGTTGTCCCTGGGCGTTGTGCCCCAGGAAACAGAGAAGTTCTGTGTGCACTCCACACCCCCACTCCCCAAAATGAAGCACACTAGCTCCACCTGGGGCAGTGCAGCCCCCAGGTCTGGCAACGACTAAACGCCTCAATTAATTCCCATTAGGGGCCCGGCGGCTGCCAAATTCCATTTTGCTGAAGGCCAGGACTGCCAGGCTCCAACTGCCACAAACAAAGCGTCTGAAGCTATTAAACGTCTCCTCTTTGCTCCAGGTTCCTGTAACTACCAGGCAGGCCGATTATTTTTAAACGCAGCCAGCAGAGGCCTCTGGGCACATCCCTCCCCACATGAGTCGGGCTTCACCTTGGAGCCAAGATGCTGCCGTTGCCGGGAAGTCATAGACCCCTTGGAAACACACCAGACCAGCCGCCAGTGCAGGGCAGATGTTTGCAAGCCACGTGAGAGCTGGAAGCAGCAGACACAAACCCCTGAAATGCCCAGGGCTGCATTTGAGACAGTATTGCATCCCCGATTTCCCTGCTAGCCATGGGGTTGCTGCTTTATTACCCTGATGTGTGCAGAGCCACTGTCCAGAACCAACACTCTGACCCCAGGCATTCCAGTGGCCCCAGCCTAGGATCCACGCTGCTTTCTCGACTATGTGTAGCAGTTTTCATCATAATGTTCAGCACTGAATTAAGCTGATGGATGATCAGTGTCAGCCCCGGGGATATAGCGGACACAGATAATGCTTTGCATTTATAGTGTCTTTCACTGGAAGATCCCAAAGCCCCGTAACCAGCTGGGTGCAGCACCATTATCCCCTTTATCCACAAGGGGAAACCGAGGCACAAAGCTGCTAAGGGAGTTGGCCAAGCTCACACTCCGCTGATCTAATCCCTGTGCCTCTCAGGTGAACAAAGATTGGCAGCCAAAGAATTTCCATACTTCCGTACACCCATTCCCCTGCCTCTGATGCGGAAGCAGCTGGGGTGGGCTCGGTGCAGGAGCATGGGGGGGGCTAGCCGGGCGAAGCTTTCTCTGACTTGGAGGGATAGCTGCCAAGGCCGTGCAGTGGGGGCAGAGTCAGAGAACATTGTGGCTGGTTCCATTGCTCATCTGGGAGCTGTTTCTATATTGGCACGGGGACATTGCTGGGGACGCCAGATCTGTCTGAAGTGACAGGTAGAACCATATGGAACAATCAAACCCTGCACGTCCTGCTTTACCATTATGTCCCAGAAAGGTGGGGAGCAGAGGTGGGGAGGGGGGTTCTTCTAAAGTTCCCAGTTTGCTGGGAGGCCACATTGTCTAGGGGGCTGGGACTGGGAGTCAGGACTCCTGGGTTCTTTTCTAAGCAGTTTGAGTGGTATTGTGATCAAAGCAGGGGACTGAATGCCAGGACTCCTGGGTTCTTTGCTAAGCTGTTTGAGCGGTGTCATAATCAAAGCAGGAGACTGGGAGCCAGGACTCCTGGGTCCTCCTTCTAATTTTGACACTGGCTCATTGTGTGACCATCAACATATCACTTCACCCTCCTTGTGCCTCAGTTTTCCCTTCAGTAAGGTGAGGTTAATGCTCCTGACCTACCCTTGGTAAAATGCTTTGAGAGGTAGGAATGGAAGGTGTGCTGGGTGACTTATTCCTTTTGACCTGAAAGTCACTAAGGGACAAATCGTGAGCCCAAGGTAGCTAACGGCCAAACTCCCATTGCCTTTAATGGGGCTGGATTTGGCCCTAAGGTGTTAATCTGAACTACCATGATCCACGCTCCACAGCACAGGGACGCAGGGGCCCATTACCTCTGCACTCAGCATCGGATACCGGGGTGCACTCCTTGATCAAGACCTCGTTCTCCTCACAGATGGTGCAGGGCAAGCAGGGGTCCATGTGGTTGGCTTCGTCGGAGAAGGTCCCGTCGGGGCACTCCTCGCAGACGGTGTTCTGAGTGTACCCGCACGGGAACATCAGGCCATAGCCCACCTCGCAGATGTCACATTCCTTGCATTGGCCGCTCCCCTCGTCCTGGTAGTAGCCGTAGATGCATTTGCAGACGGCGTCGTCCGACTCCACGCAGGGAGCCGACATGCTCTGCAGGCCCACGCACTCTGTGCACGGCTTGCACGCCTCCGTGGCGCTGACGGTGTCCGAGTAGGTCACGCCTGCAATGGAGCAGAGGGAGAGAGAGCGCGAGCGAGAGATCAGTGTGTGGGTAACACCCCCGGTGAGCGAGTGGTACAGGCCTATGCTGATCCGCAGAAGATATGAGTCTGTTACTAGCCTGACTAGGCAGCCTTGCTTTTTAGCTCAAGGTGTAGCAGCTCTGGAAGCTCCTGGTTCCACCTCTGCCACAGCTGTGCTGCCCTGCAGGAGAGCCAGACGATACCATTGCTCCTGTACAGACCTATAGAACTATATCGAGTCCCGCTCTAAACGGAGCTGCCGGTGGCAAGGCAAACTGGCCCAAGGCAGGAGCTGTGGCAGGACCAACACTCGGGGCTCTGTTGTGTCCTAGCACAGGCAACTTCTTTAGCTGTACGTGGCTGTTACCCAACTGGAACAAGAGGAGATTCAAGAGCAGCTGCAGCACAAGCTTATAAAAACCCAGGCAATTCCGGGTTTTATTATTAGGAGGCGTGTTTAGGGCTGGTGAAAGGTGCCAGATTGACAACCCTGGAGACCCACGTCCCCTCTCCCCAGGTCACGGCCCCGCACTGTCCTGCCTCTCCCCAGGAGCTCAGGCCCAGATCCTCAAAGCTATTGAGGTTCCTAACTCGCCACAGCCCATCCACTCCCCAGCCTGCTCATCGGTGCTAAGGGGATGGTAGAGCTCCTTGTCCAGCGGGCGCTGGACCGAGACCAGTGGCTCGTTCAACAAGCCATTCCCTCTGGCTGGATTTGAATCAGCAGCCTTGTGGGGAAAGCTCGGGATCCCGATAGCAACCCCCCCAACCCCATAAGGAAGGGGAAGCTCAGGAGAGGGAAAGGCACCAACTACAGCAGCCTCAACCAGACCCGTGTTCCCTTCACCCTAACAACGGGGGGCTGGAAGCTGCCGTTAACCCTGTAATCAGAGCAGAACAATTTGCCGCACAAACAGGGGGGCAGCCCCAAGCTGCAGTGGGAGCTCTTCGCTAACTCAGGCCCTCTGAACTCCTGCCCTGTTGGGAGACCTCAGGACTGTCAGCCACAAGCTAATCTCTGGCATAACTGCCGTGTAATTAGCATGCGGCGTTAATGGGGGAGGGGTGTGTGTGTGGGGTGTTTTCTGCACACACTCATTCAGTGCTGCCTCCCTGAGGGTCATGCGGAGAAAGGAAGCAGTGTCATGCCTGGGTGTGAGCCAGGGAGGCTGTTGGGGGAGGCGGGGGTCAGGAGGAAATTTTTCCTAGGGGCAGGTTATCCCATAACACCCTTCCGCGGGGGTTTCTTGCACCTCCCTCTGCCCACGGTCAGATACAGGGCCCTGGGCTAGAGGGATCCCCGCTCTGATTCAGTCTGGCACTGCCTGTGTTCCAGCTGCCAGTCCATGGCTTCCTACCTCAGAAGGGTCCGCTCACCCCCTTCACAGCTGCCTAGCCCTCCCCAATGACACCACTGCCAGCACCCCTCAACTGCCCACTCTCTCCTGCTACTGCCCCACAACATAGAATCATATAATCGTAGGACTGGAAGGGACCTCGAGAGGTCGGCTAGTCCAGTCCCCTGCACTCATGGCCGGACTAAATATTATCTATTATCTATATTATCCATCCCTGACAGGTATGTGTCTAACCTGCTCTTAAAAATCTCCAATGACGGAGATTCCTACAACCTCTCTAGGCAATTTATTCCAGTGCTTAACCACCCTGATAGTTAGGAAGTTTTTCCTAATGTCCAACCTAAACCTCCCTTGCTGCAGTTTAAGCCCATTGCTTCTGTCCTATCCTCAGAGACTAAGAAGTACAATTTTTCTCCCTCCTCCTTATAACAATCTTTTATGTACCTGAAAACTGTTAGCATGTCCCCTCTCAGTCTTCTCTTCGCCGGACTAAAAAAACCCTAACCCGCATGGCCCCACAGTATGCCAACATTTTTATGGCTGACTTAGAACAACGCTTCCTCAGCTTTCGTCCCCTAACACCCTGTGACGTTGTGCAGTCTATATGGTTTTATAAAAACATGATAATAAGTGAATATAATGTAACTGGGATATGCTTCGTGCAAAAGGTCTCTTGTAAGGTATCATTACAAAGCTCATAATCTACTGAGTGTGGTCATCCTATTTGTAGAAATGTACCACTCTTGTATCTAAAACTAGAAATATAAAACATAACTCTGAGGGCCTATTGTAATTATGTAAAGTGTGGGCCATTAATGATGGTTTGGAATCTTGATGACTCCCATTAACAAGGACCATTGTCTGCAGATGGCTGTGTTTACCTGTTAGTCTTCCTGTATATGTGTGTGCTGGCAAGTGGGCAATGAAGTCTTGCAGGGACATGTGATCATGTCACCTGAACTGGAATCCATCTTTAACCTGGTGCTTTTCCAGTGGGGGGGGGTGTGGAAACCCAGAGGGACAAAGGGTTCCCGCCTTATGCAAAAGATATATAAAGGGGTGGAAGAGAACAAGGGGAGGGAGGAGCCATCATGAAGAATCCCCCAGCTACCACCTGAATTGGAACAAGAGCTGTACCAGGGGAAAGAATTGTGCCCAGGCCTGGAAGGTGTCCAGTCTGAGGAAAACTTACTGAAGCATCTCTGAGGGTGAGATTATCTGTATTTAGCTTGATTAGACATAGATTTGCGCATTTTATTTTATTTTGCTTGGTGACTTACTTTGTTCTGTCTGATACTACTTGGAACCACTTAAATCCTATTTTCTGTATTTAATAAAATCACTTTTTATTTAGTAATTTACTCAGAGTATGTATTAATACCTGGGGGAGCAAATAACTGTGCATATCTCTCTATCAGTGTTATAGAGGGCAAACAATTTATGAGTTTGCCCTGCATAAGCTTTCTGCAGGGTAAAACGGATTTATTTGGGTTTAGACCCCATTGGGAGTTGGGCATCTGAGTGCTAAAGACAAGCACACTTCTGTGAGCTGTTTTCAGGTAAACTTGCAGCTTTGGGGCAAGTGATTCAGACCCTGGGTCTGGGTTGGAGCAGACGGGAGTGTCTGGCTCAGCAAGACAGGGTGCTGGAGTCCTGAGCTGGCAGGGAAAACAAGAACAGGGGTAGTCTCGGTACATTGGGTGGCAGCTCCCAAAGGGGTTTCTGTGATCCAACCCGTCACACACCCCTACTCTACTTGCACTACATTGATAACATCTCCATCATCTGGACCCATGGAAAAGAAGCCCTTGAGGAATTCCACCAAGATTTCAACAATTTCCATCCCATCAACCTCAGCCTGGACCAGTCCACACAAGAGATCCACTTCCTGGACACTACAGTGCTAATAAGCGATGGTCCCATAAACACCACCCTATACCGGAAACCTACTGACCACTATACTTACCTCCAGCTTTCATCCAGACCACATCACAAGCTCCATTGTCTACAGTCAAGCTCTAAGATACAACCACATTTGCTCCAATCCCTCAGACGGAGACAAACACCTACAAGATCTCTATCAAGCATTCTTACAACTACAATACCCTCCTGCTGAAGTGAAGAAACAGACTGACAGAGCCAGAAGAGTACCCAGAAATCACCTACTACAGGACAGGCCCAACAAAGAAAGTAACAGAACGCCACTAGCCGTCACCTTCAGCCCCCAACTAAAACCTCTCCAGCGCATCATCAAGGATCTACAACCTATCCTGAAGGACAATCCCTCACTCTCACAGATCTTGGGAGACAGGCCAGTCCTCGCTTACAGACAGCCCCCCCAACCTGAAACAAATACTCACCAGCAACCACACACCACACAACAAAAACACTAATCCAGGAACCTATCCTTGCAACAAAGCCCGATGCCAACTCTGTCCACATATCTATTCAAAGGACATTATCATAGGACCTAATCACATCAGCCACACTATCAGGGGCTCGTTCACCTGCACATCTACCAATGTGATATATGCCATCATGTGCCAGCAATGCCCCTCTGCCACGTACATTGGCCAAACCGGACAGTCGCTAAGTAAAAGCATAAATGGACACAAATCAGATGTCAAAAATTATAACATTCAAAAACCTGTCAGAGAACACTACAACCTCCCTGGCCACTCAATTACAGACCGGAAAGTTGCAATTCTTCAACAAAAAAACTTCAAAAACAGACTCCAACGAGAAACTGCAGAATTGGAATTAATTTGCAAACTGGACACCATTAAATTAGGCTTGAATAAAGACTGGGAGTGGATGGGTCATTACACAAACTAAAAACTATTTCCCCGTGCTAATTTCCCCCCTACTGTTACTCACACCTTCTTGTCAACTGTTTGAAATGGGCCATCCTGATGATCACTACAAAAGTTTTTTTCCCTCCTGCTGATAATAGCCCACCTTAATTGATTAGTCTCATTAGAGTTGGTATGGCAACCCCCATTTTTTCATGTCCTCTGTATATATATCTTCCTACTGTATTTTCCACTGCATGCATCCGATGAAGTGGGTTTTAGTCCACAAAAGCTTATGCCCAAATAAATGTGTTAGTCTCTAAGGTGCTACAAGTACTTCTGTTTTGCTGATACAGACTAACACGGCGACCACTCTGAAACCAGTTTTTTCAATCTTCCCTCATAGGTCATGTTTTCTAGACTTTTAATCGTTTTTGTTGCTCTTCTCTGGATTTTCTCCAATTTGTCCACATCTTTCCTGAAACGTGGTGCCCAGAACTGAACACAATACTCCTGCTATTACCTCCCAGAATGATGTTTGCTTGCAGTACTCCTTCCTAGGCAGCCATTTCCCATTTTGTATGTGTGCAACTGATTGTTCCTTCCTAAGTGGAGTACATGAAATCCTGCTCCCCTCCCAATGCTGACACCCCATCCTGTGACCCAACCTGCGCCCCACAGCTGCTAACCCCTCCCCAGCTATGGAATCCACCTCTCATTACTTTGCAGGCCCCCTGCTATGGGCTTGGAGCCATCCAGAGCCTCAGGGGCAGGGGAGCAGCTGGCATTAAGCATGTCGACGTAGGGGATGACTGCTGTTGCATGGTGC